AATTCAATTCTATCTCTAGGATTCGATCATAATATGATACACTCTATAATTAGTTCTATAAAACTCAATCACACGTTTTTTTTCTCATTTTTTAGCACAATACATGGGGCAGCAGCTTAATATGTACACGGCAGAAGGCAACTGGAGAGGCACGACACCACAGAATATGCACCCCATATCTCAAGTGCATCGACATGTTTCTGAACCACCACCTAGTTATTTTTCAAATAATGCAAAAGCAAATGGCAGGTCTCAAGAAGATCTAGATGTGGTCCTTCAACAAAAGTTGGTAATAAATGATAGTCTGGTGAGAATAATACCATTCTAGTTTCGTTTTGCATTTTTGTATTAGAACATGAAATACTTTACTCTGATTACGTTCCTTTTTTATACTTGACGATGTAGTATTTTTCAATCATGTACTATGTTCTTTTATAGAACAATTACCATGATGGGAGGAAGAGTTTGTTATAAAACCGGCCCCGAAATCGACATCGAGCACCAAACGCGGAAGAAAACGCCATAAGAGACCCAAACATGATAACGACCCCGAGGCACGATATTTGATAACGGAGTTCAGCCGAGGCCTACATCTCCGGGGCACTGATTACGGGTGCTCCTCCCCGATCCAGCATATACAGCGTATCAGAGTTATAACGACTCACGGCCGGTCGCCGCCGGCAGCCGTTCCCTCTCGCTATGCTATGTCGCCATACGGTTACAACAGGCACGCCCCTCTATTTATGAGAGATCCTAGGATAGAGTCCGACTCATACTCTAGTCCTAATACCTATTACAACTCCAAGCCCTAAACTGTAACCGACTACGTACACATATTCGACACAAACTCTAACAAACTCCACCTTGGCGAATATGCCATGCCAACCTGAATTTGTTCCTTGCTCGAACCTCCATGCACCAGGACTTGAGTTGGTTCCTTTTCGCCGCTCACACCGAGCCGCCCCGACAAGCCTCCACCAGGCTCACCGTAAACAAGAGACTCTGCTGTCCCTGTAACTTCCTCCTCTTGACTCCACCTGCAACAGTGCTCCACCTTCTCTCATATCACCACAGTCGTCTTGCCAAGTGAATTGAATTTTTCCTAGCTGTCACATCATAGACTCCCCGAAGACCATGTTCAACTTCATCTACCGTCTTAAATTTGACTTGATCTAATCCATGGCCAGATAACCGATGTCATCACCAAATAGACAAACCAAACTCACCAGATATGAAGAGAACCCTTTCTTCCTTGTCGTCTTATGAACCAAGCTAATAAATCCAACATCACGCTTTCCTGCATCCGTAGGCTGCATTCCTGATAATCTGAGAAAATTCAGTGTTGCCTTGAATCACCTGAAGAAATTACCACCATAGCGTTTACTCTTCTCCTTCAGTGACGCAGATTCCATATATCCCCATCATGCAATCCCCGCAGATCCTGGATATATCCTGTATTGCCAAACAGCCCGTTGATGCCCTCAACGATTTTCACCCGCTGTTGCCCGGGACCTTCACCTGTACAACCGCTTGACAAGTCAAACCACCACTGTGATGTCTTTTAGCAGAGCCAACACTTTTGACTTAACATGCTACTGATATCTTGCTGTAGGAGCTTCTCTCCGCATAGCATGTTTCTTTAAACCAAGTCCCTATGCACCATCAAGTTACCTGTAGCCTCAGTCTCCACGTAAAGCCATTAGTGAATCAGGCCAACCAAATCTCATTACGGTCAAAGACTAGTCAACAGCTCAACAGCCCTGGTGTTTGAACCAACCGGATCAACGAACCGATCTTTTTTTTTCCCCAAAAGAAAATAAACCGCTCGGTTTTCTCTCCTTGGTCAGAAACCAGTTAACGAGGAAAAACAGGAAACAGATCGAAAACGATCGATCCCCTTTCTTCCTCCTCGCTCCTTCGCTCGCTTTCCTCGGACCCAACCGCGCCGCTGCCCAGCGCCTGTAGCGCCCCTGCCGCGCTGCTGCTTCCTACCGACCACCGAGCACCAGAGCCGCCACGCCTGACCGCTCCTCCGCGCCCTTGAGGAAGTCACCGCCGGTGGCCGTTACTGCCGCCGCCTCCTTCTCTCCCTCAATGTCGCCGCCCTTCTGGAAGACGTCGCCGTGCACAGGAGCTGGTCTCCCCTTGCGCCGCCTCCCTGGGGCCTCTGCCAGTGAGAGCGCCGCCGCTGCTGCCGTGGGCTTCCCGCCGGATGAGGATGCCGACGCCCACGGGGCAGCTCCCCGACGCATGAGCCGCACCGCCCCTGTCGTCGGTGTCCGCCGCCTCCTCCTGGAGCCGGCCCGCGTCGAACTCGCCAGCACCTGCACGATGACTACACCAAGCCATGCTTCTGCCGCCCGACGTTCGTCGCCCAAACAACCGCCGCTCAAGAAATCGAGTCCGATCTCTTCATTGCTTTGGTTGTTTGATTCGATTGCAATCTCTGCAATCCCGTGGATTCCTCTTGCTGATTTACACGGACAAATTGAGCCCGATTCTATTTCCAAATCGAATTCTCCTCCGATCCCCTTTCGTGTCCGACGTGGTATCCTTCTCGATCTCTTCTTATCGTGTGTATTGAAGCCGAACTCGTGCTCAACTCCTTTTCTACCACGGCCCACTCCGAGTCGAGTCCTGCATGAACCCAAACCGGATCTGCTACTACCAGCGCCGCTTCTGTCTCCATCGTCGGCACGGCCTCAACACGAAATCGTGCACACCACCGCGACCCTGACCTCCAAGCTTCACGTATCCCAGCGACATCCTGGTTTCCAGAGCAAACACACACAGCACGACCACCGACATCATCAACAACTTCCGCCGCCAATATGTATTGATTCTATGCTGACGCTTCTCTGTTCTGCCATCCATCGCATGTACGCCGCTAAGTAGCAATCCTTCATGCAGTAAAACAGCTCGTAGGATCCACCCGCTCCGACTTCCGATTGAACGCCATCAATCTAGTCGAGAGCCGAAGCCGACAAGTCACATGCCGTCTTCCCAGCCGCCGAACGACCCGAGTGCTACGTCTAGCCATCTCCCTGTCGAACGCAGCTCATCGAAAGGCCCAGGCCACCCCGCTTAGAGTGTTCGACCCACCGATCGAGAACGCCGATCGCCTCCAGCTTCAGTCAACCCGAGCGTGGGGCCCCACGTCTCCCTATTGAGAGTAGCTCACCGGAAAGTCCGAGCCACCCGCTCGAAGTGTCCGACCCACCGATTGGATCACCAATCGCTTCTGCCGCCATCAACCTAAGCACCACGTCTGGTCATCTCCCCTGTTGGTTGCAGCCATCGAACGGTTCAGACTGCCGTCTGAAGTGTCCGATTCCACCGATCAAATTCCGTTGATCGCCGCTGTGCTCCACCTTGCGTCCATGTCCGTCCCTGGACACCCTGTGTAGTCGTCACGGCATGGAGCACCTCCCTCGTACCTCTACCATGGATCTCCCGCAGGCTTTGATACCACTTGTTATAAAACCAGCCCCGAAATCGACATCGAGCACCAAACGCGAAAGAAAACGCCATAGGAGATCCAAACATGATGACGACACCGAGGCACGATATTTGATAACGGAGTTCAGCCGAGGCCTACATCTCCGGGACACTGATTACGGGCTCTCCTCCCCGATCCAGCATATACAGCGTATCAGAGTTACAACGACTCACGGCCGGTCGCCGCCGGCAGCCGCTCCCTCTCGCTATGCTATGTCGCCATGCGGTTACAACAGGCACGCCCCTCTATTTATGAGAGATTCTAGGATAGAGTCCGACTCATACTCTAGTTCTAATACCTATTACAACTCCAAGCCCTAAACTGTAACCGACTGCGTACACATATTCGACATAAACTCTAACAGAGTTCCTGAGCAAATCATACCCTGGCTATGGCAGTGACAGATTTAGATGCATGACAAAAATTCTGATCAAAGGAGCGGCTCCACATACCTTTGGGTGTAGAGGTCGAAAGTTATTGCTTCCAAGTTCCATTAGTATTAGTGGCTCATGCCTAAGGAGCTTGAGCTTAATTCCTATCCAGCTTATAGTTTTTTTTTTAAGACCATGTATCCAGCTTATAGTTGTTTGCATATCAAGCTCCCAAAACAGAGTAAAACTTTTTGCAGACATTTTTTTTATGTATTAGGATGATGGTTATGTGAACTTATGTGTCTTAGTTTCTGGTTTGTTCGTGCAACAATAAAATCTTTCCTATCAGTATATCACTGTTTTTACTAGAGTACATAGGAAGAGGCTTTTGGACATGAAGATGGTGCCAGTTCCAAGTTCCAACAACAGAAATAGGCACAACTAGGCAAAATGTGGCGCATCCTGATCTAGCAATGAAGTACAAAGGCTAGTTGCAATGCACTGTGTTTTACTTTCAACACAAAAAGTTTATTTTGCATCGGAGGTTCATGTTATGCATTCAGTTCAATTGTCTTTCACGAGACCTGTCAATTTTATTTGGCAAGCTTATTTTCTCAACAGTAAAAGCGTGTTACTAAGTTAACATGATTAATTTGCTACTCCCTCCGTTTCACAATGTAAGTCATTCTAGCACTTTTCACATTCATATTGATCTAAATGAATCTTCACAATGTAAGTCATTCTAGAAATTCCCACGTTCATATTGATCTTAATGAATCTAGATGTTTGTCATTCTATCACTTCCCATATTCATATTGATCTTAATGAGTCTAGATGTTTGTCATTCTAGCACTGTCCACATTCATATTGATCTTAATGAATCTAGATTCATTAAAACATCTAGATTCATTAAAACATCTAGATTCATTAATATCAATATGAATATGTAAAGTGCTAGAATGACTTACATTGTGAAACGGAGGAATTACTAGCTATAGCTGTACAAGCAGGCTAATTACACAGCACCATTGGGGATAGGCGCCGCCGCCGTCAGTGGCGGCAGCTGGGCCTCTTCTGTCCACAGCAAGATGCATGTCTTCGTCCACTAGCTATTTTTTTTTGTCTTAAATTATTTGGGCCATCACAGTCATAAGTTAGACACGTTATTATTGATGGCAATCTTTTTCTTCAATTAATAACAAGGTAGTTTTTAAACCTTACTTGCGGACATGTTGACTTAATATTTTTTACTTTATTTATAACACAAATAATATAATAGATATATAGACTGTTGTCCTCTTCTCCTTCTATACAAGCATTCAAGAAAAATATAGCAGCGATAGTGACATATACCCCTAGTTTTATTGCAATCTGACGTATCCCCAAGCAGGTATCATGTATTGTAAACGGAGGTTGCATACTTGCTCATCACTCATCAGCCAACCAAACCACCGATTCCAGAACACAAAATATTTGTACATATTTTGGCTCACCGGAGCATCCTTCATCGGCCATGGCGTCCTCGATCCTGTCCACTCTTGCTGGCTTTTTGGCCAAAGTATATACTTCAGTCCAAGTACCATCTTGCTCTTCTTGTGATCCTAAAAAATTACCAGCTACTGCATCTGAATTCGATGAGATGAAGGTCATACTTTGTAGAATTCGAGCTGTGCTAGCTGATGCGGATCGGAGGGAGATAGAAGATCTGCATGTGAATATGTGGCTATATGAGCTCAGGCAAGTCGCATACGATTTGGAGGATATCATCGATGAGTTGTCCTACAAGACAGTCCAGCCTGAAGCAGAGACGAACACCCATGAACATGCTGATCTCAAAAGGAAGTTTGAGGTACTTGATACTGTAAATTCTCCAGTGCATGATCATGAAGAATCCCTAGATACAGATATGCTTGACAAAATCAGCAAGGTCAGAAATAGACTTAAATCCATTAACAGTTTTCGTGAAAGCCTCTCGCTGCGAGAGGGTGATGGGAGAATCAGAGTAAGCACCACCAGCAATATGCGTGCTTCGAGTTCTCTAGCTAGTGAGACAGGGACCTTTGGAAGAGATGGAGAGAAAAATAAGTTACTTGACAGCCTTCTGAATAATGACAATGGTACTGACAACAACTTACAGGTGTTCTCCATAGTGGCAATGGGAGGCATGGGGAAAACTACACTAGCAAAGCTCATCTACAACGATGAACAGGTGAAAGACCACTTTCAGATAAGAGCTTGGGCTTGGGTATCAGAAGTTTATGATGTGACAAGGACAACGAAAGCCATTATTGAATCTATTACCAGAGAAGCTTGTGGTCTGACTGAGCTGGAAGCGCTTCAGAATAAGCTACAGCATATTGTTTCAGGAAAGAGATTTTTGATCGTCCTTGATGATATATGGATTATAAATTTGCTCCAGTGGGATGAATTGCGGCAGCCTCTAGACCATGGAGGTAGAGGAAGCTGTATTGTGACAACCACAAGGAATCAAAACGTTGCACAGATCATGAGCAGGTTGCCACAAGTTAATTTGGATGGCCTGAATCTTGCAGCAAGTTGGGCATTGTTCTGCCACTGCATTAGGCAAGGATGCCATTCTCTCAAGCTCTCTGGAACTCTTGAGACCATTGGTAGAGGTATAGTTGAGAAATGCAGCGGTGTTCCTCTGACGATAAGGGTGATTGGAGGCCTACTTTCTTCTGAAACCAACGAGGAAACATGGAATGAAATCCTTACCTCCGATATTTGGAACTTGACCGAGGGGAAGAACTGGGTTCTTGATGTATTGAAGGTGAGCTATGTTCACTTACCAGCTGAGATAAAACCATGTTTTCTCTATTGTGCACTGTTTCCCAGAGGACACATGTTTGATAAGGAAAATATTGTGAGGATGTGGGTTGCCCATGGATATCTACAGGCAACACACTCAGATCGGATGGAATCATTAGGCCATAAATACATCTCTGAACTAGTTGCAAGATCATTCTTTCAGCAACAGCATGCTGGAGGTCTTGGCTACTATTTCACAATGCATGACCTTATCCATGACCTGGCAAAGTCACTTGTAATAAGGGATCAAAATCAAGAACAGGAGCTCCAGGATCTACCAAGCATCATCAGTCCAAGGGTTGACATCATCGGAAGCAAATATGACCGGCACTTTTCAGCCTTCCTCTGGGCCAAAGCACTGGAGACTCCTTTAATAGTACGGTCAAGCAGAGGACGAAATCAAGAATCATTGCGATCACTGTTGTTATGCTTAGAGGGTAGAAATGATGATTTCTTACAGGTAAACTTCACTGGTAATTCTATCATGTTGCACTTTGAAAGGGATTTCTTCACAAAACCTCATATGCGCTTTCTACGAGTGCTGGAACTTGGCAGCTGCAGGCTATCTGAACTGCCCCACTCTGTTGGTAACTTGAAGCAACTAAGATACCTTGGTCTTTCTTGCACAGATGTTGTAAGATTACCTCAGGCGGTATGTAGCCTCCACAATCTGCAAACACTTGACCTGAGATGCTGCAGGTTCCTAGTTGAGCTTCCCAAAGATATAGGACAATTACAAAATTTGCGGCATCTTGATTATAATGTCTTAGGAAGAAATGATTCTACAATACCAGTCTGCAAGTTCAAAAGTTTACCTGAGGGCATAGGAAAGTTGACTAAACTGCAAACACTCCCTGTTTTCATTGTGCACTTCACTCCAATGACAGCAGGAGTGGCAGAACTCAAAGACCTGAACAATCTGCATGGGCCACTGAGCATTTCGCCCCTTGAGCATATTAATTGGGAGCGCACTTGTGAAGCAAGAGTTGCGGACCTGATAAAAAAAGTGCATGTTACACGATTGTGTTTGCGGTGGAACAGCCACATACGCTATGGGGATAACTCTAAACCACAAGAGAAATCCTTGGAAGAATTTGACAGGGAAGTACTTGACAGCCTTGAACCTCATAATAAAATCCAATGGATTGAAATTGAGAAGTACATGGGCTGCAGTTATCCCAAGTGGGTTGGACATCCCTCCTTTAACCGACTAGAGACAGTAATCATCAGTGATTTTTCGTCTGATTCTCTTCCACCATTAGGACAACTTCCACACCTTAGGCATCTTGAGGTCAGGGAGATGAGACATGTAAGAACTGTAGGAAGTGAATTCTATGGTGATGGGGCAGCACTACAACGATTCCCAGCTCTTCAGACATTGCTGTTTGATGAGATGGTAGCGTGGAATGAGTGGCAGCGTGCTAAAGGCCAACAGGATTTCCCTTGCCTCCAGGAGCTTGCCATCTCCAATTGTCTTAGCTTGAACTCTCTATCACTGTACAATATGGTAGCTTTGAAGAGGCTTACCGTCAAGGGTTGTCAAGATCTTGAGGCAATAAAAGGCCTAGAAGAATGTTGGGTGTCAATAAATCATAGTCAAATCAACTGTACAGATACTTCAGGATATAGTGAAATTGTGGATGGAAATGGGTCAGAATGCCCCAACTCAACTCTACCAGCGAGACTTGAGGTCATACAGATTTACGATTGCATGTCACTCCCAAATTCAAGCCTTCAACAAGCAATAGGGATTACGAGGGTTTTCCGACAAAGGTATAAACTGAATGCTTGTCAGTTCTCTCAAGTTCTATATGCCTTATTTGATTGTAACATGACCCGCATTCATATTCGTTCTATTAGGTCAAACTCAGACATGGTTTACCCTGATCAGAAGGAAGTTGATGAGAGCATTGTTCTGATCATATAGTGGTCCAGGCCAAAGGATATTTTACCTACTTACCACATAAAGAGGAAGATGAAGAAATTTTCTTGATTTTAATCAACAAATCACTCACGTGAAAATTACCATGCATGTACATGCTTCTACTATCCTCTTGACAATTAAGAATGCCCAATATGACATTTTGAAATTTACTGTAAAGAGCAAATAATAGGAAGTATTGATACCAAGCAATGTCATCTACCTGTACACTGTCACATCACTAGTTATTTTTCCCCTACAGTGTTTAGTGCATCCATCTGTCTCTCTTAAGATTGCACCCCTACTTTGGCTCCTCTATTAATTCACCACAATGCCCATGGTTGACAATCTCACGTGAGAAAGTGCGGAGCAAGTCTGTAATGTCTAGTCATCCAATGGAAGCTTATTGGACAGTCCAAAGTCCTAGGTCGGATTTAAGTTAGAATGGATCAGAATCGAGACCTATCCAAATGAGCCCGGAGTGGGTGGTTAGTTGAAATGGTTTGAAATGTACATAAAAGACAATTGGTGATTAGGAGGGTTGTTCGGTTGCTCCCTTATTTAACATTAAAGACAAACAATTGATTGTGCATACATTATCTAGCACAGTTTGAATGTATCCAAGCTTCCCGCATATGGAGGGTGTTCTTCACAAGATAGTTAACATATTGGGCAGAGATAGAAATTTTCTCTTTCCAATAGGTAGTTACTATAACTTGTTTAGAGTAGAGGTTCTGATTTTAGATATACATGATCCAAGAGTTCACATTCATGGAATACAAAATAACAATTGACTGACAGGAATTCAAATATTTAAATTTTGGGCAAAAGTTTGAAAAAATCAGATGAAAATATTGAAATTTGAACAATTTTTTGCTAGAGATAATCCTACCAAGATCTATCGTAGACCCAAAATTTTAGAAATGACAGATATTGTGAACCCTTCCAAGTCTAACTATTTGTTACAACAAGATCTGTTGCTAAATTGTTCTACAATGAATTATTAAATCAACAATAGTTATCCCCCATCTCTGGTGTGCCCATAAATATGCTTATACAGTAACAAACTTGTCTCCAGTTAAGCTTTTTACTAATCGTAACCCATCCATTATCAGACAAAACAACCTAAACATACCCCGAGATCCCCAAAGGACATAATTCATCTTTAAGAAAAAGAAAACATTCAATCGATAACTACCGGGCTACAAAAGTATAACTCCTAAACAAATCATGGAGGAAAATCTTTTCAGAGAAGATAAAAGGGCTCACGTTGACAATGGTTTGCTACCGGGCAGGCGGCATATGTGTCAGCAGCCATCACTTTTGGAACACGCTTCACTGTTCACTCCTCGATCCTCGCATGGCAATGAACAGGATGTACATTGCCCAAACCTTCAAAGCATCCTGTAGTATAAGAAGATATTCAGGATGGTGACATTTTATAATTAATATGATTTCGATAATAGTAGGATGCTCAAGTGACTAAACATTTCCTCAAGCAGTTGGCAGGCATGATACAGAGTGGTGCACCCGATGGTCAACTCAAATCTTCATCAGGTCTCATGGCCTAGTGTAAAGTAGTTAAGTAGAGGAAGCTTGGGGTACCCAGCTGCTGGCAAGACGCCAATTGCATCAGCAGCAGGACGCAAGAAGATGCATGGTGTCTGTACAGGCATCGACGCGGTGGTGGTGGTGGCGGCGGGACCGTGGCGAAGTTCAAGCGGAGAATGGCGGGGCAAAATCACTCACCTGTTGATCTGTGGCGAGGCCGTGGCAGCACGAGCAGGAAGACGGTCTCGCCATGGTGCCACGGAGCAGGAAGACGGCAGGAAGGAGGATCCCGTCATTGGAGGAGGAGGGGAGGGACTGACCGGTGGAGACGGCGCGCCGCGCAGTACTTGGGGCGAGGCGGAGGTAGGCGGAGCAAACCGTACAAGAAGCACAAATTGGAATGGGAGCCACGGAGGCGCGGAGGATGTGCGTGCCAGTGCGCTCGTCACAGGTTGGGACTTGGGAAACTGGCGCCCCGCGCCCAAGAGAGACTCGAGAGTTACGAGTCGAGGTGGGCGCCTCTCATCTGGCCGTCCCGATTAGGGGTGAAAACGATCGGAAACGATCGAAATCGGTAGAATCTCTTCCAAAACGATGATCGATTGGCCGGTTATTGATCATATTTATCATCTAAACTACTCAGTATCGACGTTAATATGTTGCAGAAAGAAATTAGAAAAAACAAAATTTAAAAATAGCTAAAAACGGTATAGTCGGAAACGGTCCCCCTTAAACGGAAACGGCGCCCGGTCGATCGGTAATTTCCGTGACCGTTTTCACCTCTAGTCCCGGTAGAAGGAGGCCGGCACTTAACGAACCTATGGTTGCGTTTGGTTGCCTGCATCAGACTTGGCCCAAACTTAGTGATGCAATTTTCGGTTGTTTGGTTGCTTGGACGGCCTTCCCAGTTAGACCCGCCTATGCAAAAAGAGCTCCTCAGTCAGGCTGAGAGAAAACGCTCAAATTGAGCTTCACAGCTCAGCCTGCCCTGCCTTGTGCAGCAGCCTGCACCTGCTCATGCAAGCCTTGCACCCGCGCGTGCAGGGGACGGGCATAGTGGTCCGTCCGACCCACTCCTCATTTCTCTCCCAAAATTCAAAAACGAGGGTTTGGTGAGGCTCGGCGCTGCCGTCGTCTTCCTCCACTCTCTCCCGTCACCGGAGCCATCTTCCACGCCTGCTACTATCGCCCACCCTCTCGAGCTCCGGTGAGCTAGATATGGCAGCCAGGAGCTCCACCGAATCCGGCCACAAGTAGCGAGAGCTGGCAGGAATGTGGGGGAAGCAACGAGCGGCGGAGGTGTAGGAGCGACGAATGGCAAATGTGGGGGAGCGCAACTTCCTCGGCGAGTGGCAGGGGCGGAGGTGGAGGAGCGGCGAGCGGAGAGAGCGAGGTATCCGGTGGAGCTATGACGGCAGGACGGAGAAGCAGAGCAGCGAGGGTGCGGCGAGTATTGAGGAGCGACGAGCGCCCAAAGGATCCAGCCGAGCGGCCTCAGCCTCGGCGGCGCCGCGGTGAGCGGTCTCGGCCTCAGTGGAGCTATGGCTAGCGGCGACGACAGAGCGACCTCGAGAGGATGAGAGACTTTTTTTTATTTTTGTTTTATTTTTCCTACCTTAATCTAGCAGTAAACTAAATACCCACCAGATTTGTTACTGTACAGGATAAATGTTGACGGTTGTTATCGACCAGTTTCGACTGTCAATACTACCCAATATATGAAGACTAGCTATGCTTGCAATGCATTATTCCATAAATAAAATATTCTATTCCACTATGTGCTTAGAAAACTAAACATGCAAGAGAAGCTATCAAAATGGAGGAGAATCGACAGTACAACAATCGATCAGTCAAACAGATGCTGTCGAGAATCAGACTTATGGATGGATGGGCCAAGAATTCAGAAATATGCAATCATTCTGAGCCAAAACATTGTGTACCATAAAGTGGGGCCCACATGTCAGCATCCTGAAGAAGGCTGTGGGCCAGGGGAGCCAGCCAGGGTTTGGTCGAACCAGGGGTTCAGCCGAACCCCTAGCTGGCCCAATCCAGCCCATCTTCGGCCAAGTAGTTACTACCGGCATCCTATGATGGTTGGAGTTGATTCTACCTGAAGAAACCGTCATGGACACATGGCAAGAGGAGATGAAATATGCTCTTTGGATACTTGACCATGCCACTTGTCATGAGGAGAGCAAAGATGCTCCTAGGATGCTTGGAGCATCTCCACACTCTCAAGGCACCTCATGGGCTATAAATACCCCTCCTCTCAATCATTCCCACACACACCTCAAGAAGAAGATCAAGAGCTCTCTCAAGTATTGTTTAGTAGTTTTAGTGCTAGTGGAGTAGGAAATAGAATAGTCTTTATAGTCCTTGAGCCTTCAGGAGATTTCTAGTATGTCTTTAATAGCTTTCCTTTCTTCTTCTGTAAGACTTATTGAATTAATAGAATATTCTTCTTTATACAAGTTCGGTATTTTATTCCATTCATATTACTTGAGCGCCGACTTTACTTTATACTTGAATCAATATAGTCATGTATCTAGCTTTCAAGATAGGTGTATTGGTGTGGGTTTAGTGTCCGATTATTCGGTTGCTCTATGTCTGTTGCAAGGATGTAAAGTAGTATTTAGTAATGTAAGCGCGGTGCTTAGATTATTAGATACCACTAATTAGGGTTATATACTGCGGATGAGAGGTGGGCCACTGATGGTGATAGCTTAATACGGGTATTCCTCCACACCGGTATATAATCCTAAGTTAATTCCCTGGGGAGGGTACTCCTCCGTATTTAGCCCCGGTTGTATGGTCATGACGGGATGTCGTAAGGAACTCGACAGTCAGGGGTGGCTTCTCGATACACTAGGAGGACACTGGGTACGGGGTATTGGTTGCATGTCTGTCCAATAGTAAGTATAGACTAAAGATATATGTATACTAGAAGTACAGGAATGATATTTTTTTTAATCTTTCTTCACTTAGCTTAGACTATATTTTAGTGAGAGTAGTTCTTAGTTCTTTCTTCAGTGTGTCAACCTACCCTTTGAACTAAACTAACCCCTACGTAGACTGTGATGTATATAAGTAATATATGAATTGTTAGCACAGTACTCTCTTATCATATCTTCCCTTGGGATAAAATAAATACGATACCTTAGAATATTTCCGGGTGAAATGCTACAATGGTATATCCGTGCGCTTGCGGATTATATCTGTGACCACAATATACCAGGATTATTTCTTGTGCTATTGCTGGGAATTATATTTCCAGTAGTATCGCTAAGAAATACCAACAATAAACTCAAATGATCAATTGTAAAATATGAATTTAGATGAATTTTCACCGTGAAAAATATTGATATAGAACCAATTTCAGCTAGATGGTAATCAAATTTGGTAATCAAATTTGTAGTATTAAAATATGTCATATCCGGTCCTATATTCGTTTTTTATGGGACGGGGGAGGGAGTACTCACTTCCATGTTCCCTATTAAAAAGAACGAATGCTAAATGTCATTAGACGGAAAATTAAGGTTAAAATTTTGAAAATTCTAACCTTAGAATTGCTTCATGATGTGAGCTCCGGCGACCCTTGCATCTTCTTTTTTCTAGCTCCGGCGACAGTCCAATGAGTTAGTATTTGGGTTCTGGGTTGGGCGTAGGCAATGACCGCTCCAAAAACAATTTCACCCGGTGCGCCTTTAATACCTCCAATTTTTATAACACTGACAATGTATATGCAAAATTTCCTCTTAATCTAAAGAGAGAATCTACTATATGCCAATGAGTTTGTCTCGATTCAATGATTTACCACTGACATTGTCTCTTTCTATAATATACCGATGATTTTATCAGTTGTTCTAGCCTTTTTTAAAAACCACCCAAAATAGACATAAAGATTAACAATTGATTTATCTCATTAGAAATTTCAAAAAAAAAGAAATTTTTTATGTGATCTCCTTACACAACATAGAAGTTTCGGATATAAGTTTCAATTTTTGGGGGTATTTTTTTAGAAAATTTTTTTTGTGTGGTATATCAGAGAGAAATTGCTTATAGAAAAGATAATAGAAAAAAATTTTATGTAGCATATAAAATATAATTTACATTAAAAAATAAAAACACAACAAGTATTTTATATAGCATATAACAGATAAGTTATATTTTTAAAAAGTAGAAATGTAATATATATATATATATATATATATATATATATATATATATATATATATATATATATATATATATATATATATATATATATACACACACTTCTATATTGTGTAAGGAGACCAAATAATAAATTTCATATTTTTTTGAAAGTTCTAATGAGATAAATCAGTTGTTAATTAACCTTGTATATCCGTAAGAGTATTTTAGATACTTTTGAAAAACAAGCCCAACCCAATGATATATTGTAGAACAATTGGTAAGTCATTGGTATATTATAGAAAGATACAATGACAATGACAAATTGTAGAACTAGGGGTGTGTTTAGTTCCATGCCAAAATTGGAGGTTTGAAGGAATTGGAACGATGTGACAGAAAAGTTGGAAGTTTGTGTATGTAGAAAAGTTCGATGTGACGGAAATGTTGGAAGTTTGAAGAAAAAAGTTGGAATCTAAACAGGGCCTAGGACAATCTCAATTGTATATAATAGATTCTCTCATTTGTCAAAATTTTATATAGGCAATTTGATGTGTATTATCACAACATTTATGTTATGTATGTGCTACCCTCCCGTTGGTTCACACTTAGGAATACATTTATTCCTAGGACAACCACTTTTAGCAACTCCGTTTGTAAGTGTGAATACCTAGCTATTAATTCTTGCGTTTGCCTTTGCATGGGAGTGTGAGGGGGGTTAGGGGAATGACAAGATCGTGGGGTTTAGAGAGGATGGTCGTGGAAGATAGCACTAGGCTAGGCGATAGGCGGTGGATACGGGTAGGTAGCGAGGTCGTAGGGACAAAAATGGGTTGTGGGCTAGCGGGGGAAAGTAAAGCATGCGGTTAGGAGATGACGAGGTAGGGGCACTTCTTCAACCCCCCCCCCCCCCCCCCCCGCTTAAGGGGGGAAGAGACTGGTGTTAACGACCAATTTTGGTAATCTAAGTATCGGAGATGGAGATGGAATCAAAGTGGAATTCGAGATGAAAATCGCTTGGGAAACAGAGTAAGATCGGCTGAAGTCCGAGTCGGCTGCGACCAGGATCGGCAAAGTCCGAGTTGGACATGGTTAGCCGATTGAGCCGAATCCGACAGTATGACACGACATACGTTGTCGGGTTAGGTTGATGTACTTCATGATGATTGCCATGCATGGATAGTCCTGAGAAGACAATTGTATCTTTTAATTAGGATATTTTATATAATTTCCTTAGATATATGTTTGGGCAAATGTCTGCCGCAAAGACTTATGTTATCTTAGAGTTTGTTAGAGATAAGAGTCGTGTCTGATATGGACATATTTTGTAATCTCGGGTATAAATAGACCCTGAGCCCCATGTAATCAATTTAACACACGTTAAATACAATCTCGGCGCAT